GAACGACGCCGTTTTGTGAGGGGTTAAAGGGGACTGACTGTCGCGAGACGTCGACCTTTGGGAAGAAATTTGCAACTCATCAATTGGATAGTGGCGCGGATTGGAGTCCGCTCCGGTGCGCGGTGACAAGTGGGGTGTCTGGACCCTTGAAAAATGGAACTTCAGGGTCCAAGGCGTGGAGGGGTAACTGTCCAGGACCAGGACCGGGACCAGGACCACCACGACGTGCCAGCCGGTCGATGGTCGATGGATGGAGGGATGGATCATGGCTGTCTGGATGGATGGTAGGGCAGGCCATGCAGCGTTCCAAGACGTTCCTGAGGCCCTGAGTACTTTGTACATCCTGTCCCCTCTCCTTTGTCTTTGTGTATGTTGAACAGTTTCTGCGCCCGATGCCCAAAACAAGACAGTTGGCGCAACCTTGGAATTAGGGGGATGTCACCGTCCCGACGCTCTTGGTTTGGGACGATGCGCAACGTGAGGACGGCCCAGAGCCGGCGAGAGACACAGAGACCTGGAGACTTCCCCAAGTACCACGTACCGCATAGTGCTGCGTACCCTCCTCCAACGTCTCCCCCAAGCTCACGTACCATGCGTCTCCCCGTGCATGCTCCTCCATGCTTCTTCCTCCATGGGCCCCCTCCCGGCGCAAATTGGGTTGGAAGCTCTCCAAGGAACATGATGATCCGTGACGTCATGAGTTCACTCAGAACCCTTCGTCCCGTCATGTCCGTTTTGCGATGGGTCCTGTTTTATGGGCTCGTTTGGTTTTCGCATGAACCCTTCGTCGTGTATCGTGTGCCATTTCACATGCCACTCCCGTCACGGGTTGAGACAAGCTTCCAGCAGCGACGGATTAGACGCGTTTGATGGGGCAATTGACGCCCTGTTACCTGGAAACGGTTTCCTGGGGACGTATTGCCGCCGTCTGCCGCTCCCCGTCGTTTCTGCTAAATGAATGTTTCTCCTGATCAGTGCCTGATCACCGTCTGCTGCATGGCCATGTTGGGGGTTGGCTCCACGGAATATGAAGAATGAGGCTTACGTACAAGGGCCCTGGCCAGCCCCAGCCGCTGCTGAAGCATCCAGTTGCCAACACTAAACTTCAGGGTCCAAAGCTCGGAGCTCATGGTTGGCGGTTTTGGCAAAAGCTTCCCCTGTCCCGTTTGTCACCCAACCCAACTTTGACGGTGACATTGGCCGGGAACATTGCAAAACATGGAAGGCACTGCGGCTTAATTTGCCTCGCCTCGTTTTGCAACATCCTGGACTCTCGCGCCTTGTCTCGTAGTGTGGGTTGGACGTTGGATTTGCAGCACACCGCCCTGGGTGATGTTCATGTTCTGCAATGTCCTGCAATGTCCTGCACTGCCGACGCCTCTGACACATCCATCGTCGATGCAGCATCTGCTCTTTTGGTCTTTTTAGGACGACAACGCGCAATCATCGTGATGTCTGTTGCTATGCGGACCGTTTGTGGACGATGGTATGTCCGTTTCAAAGTTGTTCGTCTCAGCTCAGCGCGCGCGGCGGCGACCCGCCAGCACCCCTCCCTCTCCCCCTCTAACTCAAGGCAATGACGCCAGTGTCTCCGCAGCGCCAGGCCAGGGCTTGGTGAACCCCCGCCCGCCCGGCGGTTCGTGATGGTTCCCCTGATCATTGAATCGAGGAATCCCGAGTCAGTCCGGCGAGAGCTACGTCATTGTCGTGATGCCTCGATGTAGGGCGCAACACTAAAATACTCCGATGGGATATTCCGACCAACCTCAGCTTGCGATACCAAACTCCAGCTCCGAGTCAATCGAGCCTCTTGCACTGCTTCATCGAGTCATGTCTGTAGGTATCCATCAAACTCGCCGGAAAACATGACGCATTGCTCCCCTATTTTTGATGCTCTCCGGAAGTCTGAATCTCAAACCCCGGAGATTGGAGATGAAGCTGACGGACGGTACCATTGCGTTGCGGGTGCGGGAAAGGCTGAACGGGAGAAATGACGAGGCGCTGGGGGTGGCAGCTTCGTGTTGGAATGTTATGCATGGGTTGGGAGGTGGTGCTGTGGTGGTGGTGACTGGAGGGGCGCATGGTGGATACACGAGAGAGTATTTCGTCAATTTGACATAATACTTGTTTTGTCGGCTGCGTATAAGGCACTGAACCCTTGGCCGCGCCCCCATGGATGGCTTTGTGTAACGCTGTGATCAGATCGCATCTCGGTCGCGAGGGCGGAATCTCTTCGATCTATATTCATCGACGGTTGTGAAGGGTAAACGGACATAGAGACCCAAAATCACGCGACTTGGCACTCCGGATTGACGTCGTTGCAGGTCGCTTGTCGCCTCTGCGGATTCGACAGCCTGTAACGGTTACCGGGCCTGTGAATAGCATCAACGTCTCGGTGTTGGTCCGTTTCGCGGCTCCAGACGCGCCGGCTCTCATGCCATCCCGTCGGTTGGTTCTAGACTCTTTACCCCAGAGATGGTCGTACACGAACAGACGGACGGGCCACAACAACGTGGGAAATCGCTTGGGTGGTTCTGAGGTGCATCGCAGCGTCGATCCAGCGGAAGCACTGCATTCCTTAGGAGGTAATTGATGATCGAGCACGCAACAGTGGCGGAGGGCTTGAAATGCCCTATGGCTTTGGACGGGCGGCGGTAGCTCCGGTAGGCTTGTTAATTGGCCAACAAAAGACGGACATGGCTCCTAGATCATCTGAGCCGTCGTCCGGCCGCTTGCAGTCGGTCAGACAGTGGTGAGGCCTGACATTGGACGTAAGGGAGGTTCATGTGCAAGTAACAATTATCGTACCAGCAAGGCAGGCAACAATTGCATACCTTATGGGCCGACGCCTGCCTTCGTCCTTGACCGCAACTCACCCCATTCCTTCTGAGAATGCTCGAGGCACAGGCAGCTCTTGGAAGGTGCGAAGAATGAAGCCGGGAAAGCATGCGGGGCATTCGCTCCTACCTACCTTAGGCAGTGCAGATGGCGCACCGATGAATCAGGAAACAAGCCATCCCGCATGCCAGCCGGTCCGTGGCGTGACTAAGGCAGCTAAGCATTCAATAGGAAAGGCAGGTACAGACATTCTACCTCACACTAGGTAGGCCGTCCGGATACTTTTCCTAATTCATGTCCGGTCAACGCGTTTCCGGGCCCGGTGTTTGCGAGTGCTATCTTTCGGCAGTCGTTACCCTTTGTTGGTGGTTGAGGCAAGAGGGGCACCCGAGCGATGACAATTTCACTGCTTCCTTCCTCGACAGGACCCAGCTCTTTCTTGCCTCGTCTCCGCAGCCACGCTTGCTCTTGCCTTTTCAACAGAGGCACTTGTGGCTTTACCGGGTCTTTAGTAATGGTAAGCCTGGCGGTCCTGAAAGGCCCGGACCTTCGCCGAGAGCACCTCATGAAGCGGAACATCCAAGGCAACTCTCTTGATCCTTTGTCGCCCTGCAATCTGATCCTCGCGCTTCGGAATTCCCACGCGTGCGGTACCCAGGCGACGCCGCCGGATCTGCCTCTAGACTCTAAACGGGGCCGCTGTCACTGCTTGCTCTAGCGGCGCTGCTTCCCGGCGGCCGGCTGTCCTAGCCCAAGGGCCCAAGTCCCGTCCATCATCGAGCGCCTCCATCCCAGCAACACCAGTCATCCCACTGCAATCGTCCCACCCCATTCGCCCACCACCAACCGTCCCAAGGCCTCTGCATCCGCCAGCCACCCGGCGTCCCGACCTCATCTTGACGGACGGGCTCTAGCTCCGGCCCAGCAGCTCTTTGGGACTGGTTGCGCGGTTGCCGGCGGATCTAACGTGCTACCAAGCCTGGCGAAAGATCATCCGGTCCCTGAGTCGCCAGTACCTAGCCGTCTGCGAATTACAGAGGCACGTTGTCTACCGTACATAGGGGATCTGACTCTTATCAGCACCTCACTTCACAAAGAGATGGATGGGGCGAATAGATACATGAGGTGAGCTGTCATGATGACTGACGGCAACTCGTCCCTTCACCCGGGGAGCCCTGGATGACTTGCTTGAAATACCTGCCTCCAGCTTGTAGCAAGATAGTCTCTTCGATCTCGCACATAATACCGCATTATCATCGCCCGCTGAGTCCACCTCGTTGTCCACTGCATATCGTAACCGGCGGTCCACCATTGGCAACCTGGAATATCGCAACCCCACCATCTCGCATCACTGGCCGTCAATTGCAGCGTCACTTTCTTGTCTCCCGCCGTTATCGATGGTGAAACCGTACAAATTTACCTGCAGCCCGCACAATTCCGCCCGCGCCCCGGTATTGCTGCTGCACATCCAACCACCACTAAACGGCTCACACTGACCACCGACAAACAAAACGGCTGGATTTGAGCGACAAAACACGCCGAGATCCAACCAAAGCACCAACAGTCAAGCCACAGCCTGAGCTGCCCTGCCGCGCCTGCACCCACGTCTGTGCTGTGCTTTACAATTTCATTTCGCAACTGCCTGCCTGCAATTCTGGACATCCTGCCCCGAAAAAGACAAAACATTCTAGCCCCGCTATCGTTTTTTTGTCTTTATTTTCTGCCCTATCCAAAGGTCAGTGTGTGTCACCGTGTGTGTGTTCCAGGCATCTGGAAACATCCATGACCCATCCGTCGCCCGCTAGATTCTTAGACCGACCCTGCCGCTCCTCGGGCCTTATTACCTGTCTCCCGTGTGTCGTCGTTCCGACTCGAGCCTTTTTCGTCTGAACCTCCAGATAAATCAAAGGCGCACCACCACCACCAACACCACCCGTCCACGCCTGCCGAATTAACACCATCCTGCAGATACCTTACTGCACACTCCGAGCCACACAGCTTCGCCAAATTTCAGGCCAACCCACCAGCAAACATTTTTTCTCAGATTCTGCACCCTAACCAGCCTGCTCGCTTCCGCCTATCTCCCCTCTTCCATTCTTCACAACCTCGCTTCCGACAACACCTCCGCCCCCGCCTTTCACCTGCCAAAAAATTACCCCACCATGAGCAACAAGCAGCCAAACCTCTACGCCTACCCATCGGTCAGCGAGCTCGCGCCCGCTCTGCGAGCCTACGTCATCCAAGCACAGAATGCCGGCCTGAGTCGTCACGGTGCCTTCAAGGTCGCCGTCTCTGGCGGTTCCCTCCCCAAGACGCTGGCGCAAGCCCTGCTCACCCCGTCCTCCGGCCCCGAAGACACCGTCCACTTTGGTAAGTGGGAGATCTTCTTCGCCGACGAGCGCGCCGTGCCCCTCGACCACGAAGACTCCAACTACGCCCTCCTGAAGAAGGAGCTGCTCGAGAAGATCCCCGAGGAGCTCGGCGCCCCGACCGTCCACCCCATCGACACCACCTACCTCAACGACACCCAGGAGCTGGCCGACCAGTACGAAAAGACCCTCGTCACCAGCTTCGCCAGCCGCGACAGCGTGCGCCTGCCCATCTTCGACCTCCTGCTGCTCGGCTCCGGCCCCGACGGCCACACCTGCAGCCTGTTCCCCGGCCACGAGCTCCTGCGCGAGACCACCGCCTGGGTCGCTCCCATCGAGGACTCCCCCAAGCCCCCGCCGAAGCGCATCACCCTCACCCTCCCCGTCGTCAACCACGGCGTCAAGATCGCCTTCGTCGCCACCGGCGGCGGCAAGAAGGACATCATGAAGAGGATCTTTGAGCACGGCGACGGCCTCCCCTGTGCCCTGGTCAACGAGGGCGCCGGCGACCGCGTCAGCTGGTTCGTCGACAACCCGGCCGTCGAGGGCGTCAGCTTCCCCCGCCGCTCCTTCCTGTAAACGGGTCGAAAGCGGGAAGTCGCGGGAGGTTAGAAGAGGGAAAACCTGGAGATACGTGGGAGGAATCTTGCGCGTATTTAAAAACCACATTGCTCATTTCAGATAGACAAGGGACCCAGACGAAACGGCATATCTCTAGAAGGGATGCGATTGCTAAGGACCAAAAAAGCAAAAGAAGGCAAACCCAAACAACAGTCTGTGTCCGCGGGGTCGCGGGCGCTTGTCGCGGATATCACCATTGGGAGCGAAAGCTGGATCTTTATTCGTCTTTGCCATATGTTTTCCATCTTTGGGCTTTTCTTCTCCGCTGTTCCCCCTTCTTTGATTTTCGCCTTTTGGTCGCAAGAAGTCCCTGCCAGCTTTGATATCCCAACCCCTACCAATGTCAAACCCAAAAAAACCAATTATGATTTCATGATATGAAAGGAATGAGGGGATCACCGTTTTTTACTACCCAGTGTCTGATGGACTCTCGGTTCACGCTTAGGAAAAGGATACTAGAGAGATAAAATTCCAAAAACCAAAACAATTTCCAAAGTCCACAAGCCGTTGCTGTTTAACGTGGCCGTCCAATGACTTCAAGGGCTCGTAGAGTGTTTGCATGGCTAGTCTTCATCACTGTCATCGAGGCAGGTGGCGAGACGCAATGGTTGCCTTGCTTCTATGCAAGTGCCTTGGCGGGCTAGCGCCACCTACCTCACCCCACGGACGACGATCTCCGTAGGGCTGAGGGAGAGAGGGAGGACGTCCGGTTTTGCCGAGCTTGTATGCACCCATCATTTGTCTCACGGGTGATCGGCGAAGAACGACGGGCTTCCGATGCGGGTAAGGACACATGCGGACCGGATGGTGTATGTGTGGGTTGATGGTTTCCGTGATGCAGGCCTGGTATGCTTTCGGTGAGATCGTGGAAGGGTCAGTGACAAAAACGACAGGATAACAACACCATGCACTCACATCACGACAGAACTTAAAGATACACATATCACATCAAAATTAGAGTCACAAAAAGCAAAAGATGGGACAAGCGTCCCCACCTCTAGGCCCTTTCCTGTAAGGATACCGCGTGACGGGATTCGAACTTAGCGCCCCTCTAGGATAACCAGGAATCCTTCCGAGGAATTTGTTTGAGCTGGGTGATTACCAACTGGGTCACGCCGTCGCTGTTGAACTGGTTGAGGGGAATGGGACGGAAGTTGGATAAGTAGGCAGGCAGGCAGGAAGGCGCGTTGAGGATCGGGAAAGGGAAGGTGGTGGTGGGGCTAGGTTGAATGTGAGGAAGGAGGGAGCAACGCTGGAGGTTGTGATGGAAGGCACGAGTGGGTGGGTGAAAGAAACATGGCTCTGGGTTTGTTGTGGGCAGGCACAGAGATGGCTTCCGGTTAATGAAATCTGAAGCGTCTGGATGAACGGCGAGAGCTGCCCTTTAGAAATATCGTCGAAGGGTATCTATTTATGACGCCTAGAAGTCTTTCGAATCAACCCAAACTCGCTGGTCACCACCGGAGTTTCCCAACAAATGTCAATGGATGAGCTGGGAGAGAATGTGACAAAATGGATCATATTTACAGCATGCCCGTCTACAATTCGCTCGACGTGTGTTCGAAGTTGTCTTCATCCACCTTCACTAACACCACTGCCAGAGTATCATATGGATATTCTCACTGCTTCTCATTGATTACCTAGCAATCAAATGAAATTGAGATAGACGAGCCGCCGATTGATCACATAGACCTCAGACTGCCCATACCCAAGGGACGATGCGTCCCATTCCTCACCGACTCTGATGTACAACTGAACGACAGAAGAGCGATTTTCTTAACCCTCGGTAACTGATCATACTGAGACGGTTATATATACTACCGCACTTGCGCCTTTTGCTCAGAATCCGAAGGCTTTGGCAACGCTAGTGGCCCCAGTTTGATAGACACTGCGCTCACTATATATTGGCTTGGGTCCTCGAACCCACTGCATGCTATAAGGCAATCAGAAATAATTTGACCATGGTAATTCAGACGTCTCGCGCATGATCATGGGATCTACAAGGAATTCAGTGTGCCAACTTAGCGATGCAACATGGGAACATTCTCCGTTCGCCGTCAGTCACGGCCGGTACTTTATACACCTGTATCCTCATTGGGCACAAGTTTTGACCTCGTGAATGAGACGTATATCTCGAACTTTTCTGGTGGTCAGGGTAGGGACCTCTGAGGTTTCAGACGAAGCCATGTACTCCTGTCAGAATGTTCCCCAAGCAACCCATCGGTTTACATCTATCGTCGCTTGGAGAAACACCCGAAAGACACCGGCATTTTTAAGGCTTTGCTTTGGCGGGTTCTGAGGGCGTTACGAGCTTTTGAGTCAAGAACCACAGTCTGTTATCGTCTCTATAAATCGCGCCACCAGGGAAACAATAGGCCCGAGACCTCAGATATCAGTTCCGATCTTTAACATCAATGGCACAGCTCTCATGTGGCAGTCTTGGTATGAGACACGGGGAGATATGAGTACCATACTAAGTAGTCGGCATAACATCGTCGTCTACAAGCCTTGAGCTGGCCTGAGAACGAAGCTAAGGTACCTAGTAGTAACTATGAGGGGCTGCGACGCAGACATGAAGGTTCTAATGCCATTCGATGATTTCATCTGTGACCTAGGTCTTGCAAATATCCATAACACATCTAGCCTTAAATAGGACGAGCATTCTCCTTGCGTTGTAAGTAGCCTTACAAATGCCGCGCGAACACACATTGTACTCGGTTTTCACCCACTGAACTTTTACTCATTCGACTTTACCGTTCTATCGAAAACATCACTGAATACTCACAATATGCTGCGAGTTATGACAACCAAGACTAACAGAAGATTCGGATGTTGAAACGGATCCTCCATGACAAAACGGGGGTGCTCCGATGTGCAAAATTCCGATTAGCTCACTTCTAACAGCAAGATCTGTCTGCTAAATGAATTGGTTGTCTTACATCGAGAACAGAGAAGCTCTCGGAGGACGCTTTTATTGACTTCAAATTCGCGACCTACTAGACGCTCTGCAGACGCTACGTGTTTTCTCCCTCTGAGTGCTCATCCAAGTTTTGTATGCCGAGGTTTGATATGACCTTTGCAAGTATCGAGGCAACTCCGAAAGTGCATGCATTGAGTACCATGTGAGGTAGGCGCGACCTAGGTAATGTTATGTGAGATGTTGGATACCATTTCGGCGTATCCATCGAAGGATCTCAAGGTATCTATATTATCCAGGTCTCCGTCTGAGCACCTTGTCAGATAACTTCATATTTAGAATAGAAGCATGTTGAATACTGCAGAAATATCCAGGTACGTATGCAGAGAAACTATTCCTCAACTTCTTCTTCGCCTGGAAACTGGATTCTTCCCAAGCACCCCCCGATACCATCTTCAATCTAACAGCTCACAACATCACCCTCACAACATCACCCTCACAACATCACCCTCACAACATCACCCTCACAACATCACCCTCACAACATCACCCTCACAACATCACCCTCACAACTATCAACTTCAACACAAACTTATCTGCTCCGAAGATGTCAGAACGCAAAGTTGTTTCCAAGTATTATCCGCCCACCTTCGACCCTAGCCAGCTGCTACCGGTACGACACAGGGGGAAGGCAGCTGCACCGGAGGCTCAACAAGTCCGATGGGCGGCACCCTTTTCGATGCAATGCACCTCATGCGGCGAGTATATCGGAAAGGGGCGCAAGTTCAATGCCCGGAAGCTGACGCTAGACGAGAATTACCTGGGTGCCATCCAGATCTACCGCCTCTTCATTCGTTGCACACGGTGTGTAAGTCCCCCTTCCCCCATCCCCCATCCTCTGACTTGAATTTCAAGGCCTAGATTGCTAACCAGTCTCATCAGTCGCGAGAAATCACTCTTAGAACCGTTCCTCAAGCAAGCGACTATGTCTGCGAGACTGGCGCAAAGCGTATCACGGAACCATGGCGCATAGGTGACGACGTGGCCAACGAGACGGCGGATGAGCGTCTAGATCGACTAGAGCGAGAGCACGAGAAACGCGAGAACACCGAAAATCCCACGTTGGGGGATCTCGAAAAAGAAGCCCTCGCAGCCGAGACGCACATGGCTGTCGCCGATGCGCTGGACGAAGTCCGCGCTCGAAACGCCCGACTGGAAAGGCTTCGTCGAGACGGGATCACTGTGGATAAGAACGCTGTATGACGGTGGAGGACCAGAAGGATGAAGAGCACGCAAAGCGCGCTTTCTCTTTGCATGCGAGGACCGAAGCTGAGCTGTCGGATCATACTGAAACGCACACAGTAGGCTATACCGACACTGACGCCCTCGTCAAAACGAAGCGGCCTTCGAAGCACATCAAGTTGCTGCCGGGGCTGAGGCAAGCGCAAGCAAAAGCGCCGCCCGTGAACCCCTTGTTGGTGGACTACGGCTCTGACTCTGACTGATCTCGTTCAGCCTCGACACTTCATCCATCGCAAGAATTCGTCGTTATGCAATATTCCCTTGTCGAGCACCGATTATAGAAAGACTGCAGTGACAATAATTCTTCTCTATTGGTCTGACTGACGCCCCCATGTATCGTTTTGAGTCTTGATGCATCCGAAGTCATGGCACTTACAGGAGGATGCTCCGTGCCCGCTCATCTGCGAATCGATAGATGATGAGAATGTTGATAGTTCAGAAGAAAAACGAAGAAAGGGAGAAGCTTCGCTCATTAATTCACTCGCCTATATATTGCGATGTCTGATTCAAGTTTGGCGGTGCTTCTTCACCATCGAGAATGATCGGGTCCTCACTATATCCTCGGATCGGGGGCCAGTAAAAGACACTCTGCCTTGGCGGCTCGCCGGACTCCTTTCCCCCTCTGCCTCTTTTCTCTAGAAGGGAGAGATGAGTTTCACTTAAGTAACAGCGTCTTTTTCTTATACCCACCAAATCATTCAAAGCGGATCCGGGAAAGAGACGAGACTATTAAAGAGAG